ATGCAGAAAGCAACTAGAAGCTCCAGAAACGTTTTTGCATCAAGAAGAAAATTTTGAAAAAAGGTCGCTTACATCTTTTTGGTGGTTATGGCTCGATATGTACAAAATACTTCTAGTTTAAAATATAAACAATTAATGACGATCCTCTAAATTTATAACTAAAAAATTTATACCTATAAAGTTTGGTGCCAGCACTTCTTTTGGAAAGAGGAAAACAATTGAACGGTGCCCGAGCCTAATCGGATTTTTTTGAACCACCCTAATGCACATAAGTATGAATGCTAAACCAAATGTTATTTTTTGTACGGTATTTTTTTTTCGAAACCCTACATGAACAATCCATATTAAGCTTATTCATTTCTCTGCAGAAATTTGTATATGTCCATAGATTTGTACATTTTTTGTTGTTGTTTGTGCACCATAAAATTGCAGTTGCATTCACGTGTTACAAATCCCCACGGCATTAAAGCAAAAGTAGTATTCTTCTTCTTCTTCTTATTTGGCGCTGTAACCGCCTAAGCGATTTTGGCCGAGTCCAAAACAGCACGCCAGTCATTTCTCTTCTGTGCTAACTGACGCCAATTGAAAATGCCAAGTGAAGCCAAGTCCTTCTCCACCTGGTATTTCCAACGCAGAGGAGGCCTTCCTCTTCCTCTGTTACCAGCATCGCGGCCCGCGTTGAATATTTTCAGAGCAGGAGCGTTTCTGTCCATCCGAACGACATGGCCAAGCCAGCGGAGCCGCTGAATTTTAAACGCTGCACTATGTCTATATCGTTGTAAAGCTCATACAGCTCATCGTTAAATCGTCTGCGATATTCGCCATCACCAACGCGTAAAGGTCCGTAAATCTTTCGCAGAATCTTTCTCTCGAAAACTCCAAGAGCCGCCTCATCAGATGCTTTCATTGTCCATGCTTCCGCGCCATACACCAGCACAGGCATGATGAGTGACTTATAGAGTGTGATCTTTGTACGACGAGAGAGGACTTTACTTCTCAATTGCCTACTCAGCCCAAAGTAGCACTTGTTGGCAAGAGTGATTCTCCGTTGGATTTCAAGGCTGACATTATTATTGGTGTTAATGCTGGTTCCCAAATAAACGAAGTCGTCTACTTTTTCAAACTTGTAACTGTCAACAGTGACGTGGGTGCCAAGACGCGTATGCTCTGACTGT